ACCTTGCGCTGTATAATGAGTTTTTCCATACAGTCAGTATCCCTCCTCATAACGTGACCGAAATATTTAAGTATACGTGACTGTATAGAGGTTGAGAGGCGTTCTGTGATGTTCAGTTCTTGGATTATGGATTCATTGGTTCGCCGAGCAGTCCAGGGAATTCTGAGCATTCGTCGCCAACAGTACATCTCAGTTGCGTCAATTTTTTTCATTTCTGACTTTCTCATCGTCCAGGACTCGGAGCCATACATTAATATAGGAAATATTAGGCAGTGAACAAGTCTTTTTTTAAGTGTTTAGATATGTTTTTGTATCTATGGTCTACTAGCTAGTTAACAGAAAAACAAATGGCAGAAAACATCTTATATAAGTCTGATAGCCTGGCAAATATGCGGATTTTTGTATTAGGCAATGATAAGCTAGACTACTAATGTCGAGTTAGGCCCAAATAATATAAATTTTATGGTAAATTCCTCGGCGCACCGTTTAAAAACGGGATCATTTTGATTGATATTCCAGCGTTATATGAAACAAATTATTTAAAATATATATACAGATCCCCGTAGTATACTTTATTTTCATATTCACGAAATATATTGGAATTCATATTCGGGAATTTTGTCGATATATTTATGTAGGTATTTTATTTCTTCAAAGATCCTTTGATATATATTTTATTTTCTGGTTGAATATTACATGCTAACATAAATATTAGTTTTTATATTTTTGATGAAAGTATTCATGGCTTTCGAAAAAACTAAGCGTTTTTGCATTTTGAGCCTGCAGGATTTTGAACTTTGGTATTAATAAATATTCAATGTTAATAAGTATCTGCAAAATATATGAGGATGTCAAGGATATATTGATAGCAAATTAAAAATGTATTGTGTAATTTAAACTCTTATTATATATTAATAATTAATTACGTTATTTAGTAAAAAAGCAACTTATTGTATGGCTTATAATCAATAGAAATATCATCCATAATAAATTATGAAATAGTATCAATAATGTGCGAGACAGGTATGCATAAAAGATAGACTAACTAAAGTTAATTATAATATATCGGTCTTAGAATTTCTTGCGACGTTGAAATTTTATAATACGGCCCAGAGGAAGCTATAATTAAAATATCAGCAAAAATGTGATTTTGTCATTGTGAAATTCGATGTCACATTTTGTTTACGAAAATTTAAAGGTACCAAATTCTAAATACAAAAAAATATTTCACAAAATACAAAAAAATAAATATCTACATAGTAAAATTGTCATATATTTGATAACTAAATAGAAAAATGTAGAATATTTATCTAAATATCGCCACTGGTTGTATTTGACACTTAAATAGTATACTGTAATAACACATCGATCAATAATTGAATAAAATTCCATAACGCGATGTTACTGTAGAGTAATAAATAATTTGGACAGGCCCGATTAATTAATGATTAATTGTTTAATAACCCAAATAACACGCAGATGTCGGTGATTTTGTTGTTCTGTTGTTCGGCCTCATAATGACAACCGACACACGATTTAATTGACGCTAATTAACAATTTGTAACGCTTCGTGCGGTCTATTTATGATTTTTTATTGGCGGTTTAAGATGTTTTTCTGATTTTATATCAATCGTTAAAATGATATATGTATTTTACAAAAAATACAGTTACAAAATGAAAGAATGTGTAAGAATCATTAAAATAATTCGAGTCCTATTTATTTATGATTTATTTATTACTATTTATCAGATTAATTAAAAAAGTCTTGAATAGTTTTTCTTAGTAACCAAACATTTGTTAGAAGTCCTATAGAAATCATTACCATAGCATCTAGGCATCTATTACCCTATAGTCAAATACGAAAAATATTCAGTATTAATAAGAACAGTTGTTGCTCTAAAATATTTATTTTTGCTCTACTTATACTTCTTTCCTCTGAACAACATTATTATTTGAGAGATTCCTTACATCAGAAGTGGGATTTTTTTTGTAATGTGTGCTAATTTACCGCAGTGTATTCTTGTACTTTTGTGGCATATTTTAAAAGGAAAAACGTCCAGTTGATCTGATACTAACTTTACGTCCACTTACTTCTTTAACATATTCGCATTCGTCGTCTAGTAATAACAGTTGAAATCGCCGGTTATATGAGCCATGGGAGATCAATATGCTAAAACTGAAGTGGAGGCCGCTGAAGTAAAACCTATTAGTGATTTAGCTGCATATTTAAAAAATAATCAGAGATTGCAAGAGTGATTGAAAACTGGTGATCTTGTGTTCACTAAAATTGCAAGTCTACCGAACAACATCGATAGCAAAAGATTAGTAATGACGTTCAAAGGTCCTTTTAAAGTAATTAAATTGCTAACCGACCTTCCTTTTGAAGCGTTAGTGTGAAACACATGAATTCATTCGATTTTAGGTGTTGAATAAATATTATTTTTCTAAACCAAAAACTTTTTAAATGAAAAATGTGTGTCAATTTTTACACATCAAGAAAAACAAGCACCATCAATCAAAATATTATGGGGAAAAATGTTTTTAATTATATTCTGTTTGAAACCTCCAAAGAATTTCTTCAAGTTTTCAAATTAAAATGATACTTTAAACATGAAACTTCTTCCCAAGCCTTGTCATAATTAATTCTGTATAAATTTAACTTCCTTTAATTTCCTCTCTTGATAAAATTTGTCGTTTCTTTTGGTTCATGCTGAATTTCCACCTTCCGAGGTCACTTAAAATTATATTTAAATTTCCTCTAATTATTTTTTTTTCTTTAACAAGGGCGCAGTTTATTATTTATCACATTTTTGATTATTGTAAATCATATTTGTGTCCGTCAGTCGTCAGTTCTAGAACTATTTCTTAAAAACCGTTTATCAGGAATGTGAAACTTGAAATATTGCTAGATTATAGTACACAGGGTGTCCCAAATTCGAACACCATTGGTATCTCAGAAACTAGAGAAGATACGGATGTCGGTTAAATGAAGGTAAAGTTGCGCAATTTAATGTTTATTAAAATGACACTTTAAAAGTTTAAAAATTCCAAGTATTTCCAAAATTTTTGGGGAAAAAAGGAAAATCTACAATATTATTTCTATTTTTTTTTTCTAATTGCGTAGATATAACAAAATAAATTTTACGTTATCATTGTTGCTTTTTTGTGCCACAAGATGGTGTTGTCAGATTTTCAAACCGACAACAGTCTTTTACCATTTTTTATTATGGATTTTAAAGCATTTTAAGGGAGAATCTAAGGTCCCAAAACCAATGATGTATCGCACTTTTTAATAGCATTTTGCATCAGAACTCATGTGGTAGGTTAAGAATAAATTTTTGGTAGTAAGATCTTAAAAATAAAATTTAAGTTTTTAAATTGGGATAATGATTCTTCTTCTTTGTTAATGTATAATGGTGTTTTTTTTTCTTTGCTACGCTTTTGCTCATTTATATATTTTCTGGTGAAAACCAACGAAAGGGGAGGGAGATATTTAATTAAAACTCTGACGCAAATAAATGAAAAATTAATGAGGGAAATTCAGTTATGATGAAAATTGGTTTAATAAATTTAGAAGCGCTACAAGGGGATGCTGAGAATAAAGTTTTTGTGTTATGCAATGCGGCAAAATTTTTTTTTTGAAACTCAAATTTAGTCAGAGTATTACTCTAATGCCTATAATAAACAAAATTGCCTATAACAACATGCAGATGGCTAGAAGAATTTAGTTATGTCAGCTTTTAATTTTGAAAATAAAACTATTAAATAAAAAATATAAAATAATATAATTTATTGGTATTCAATACTTTTCATTCGCCATCTTTTCTTCAGACTGAAAAATAGCTTTTTATAAGTTTTATATTTTTGCAAATAATTATTTACATTTATATTCTTCTGATACACGTTATAACCGTTAAAATTAAAATTAAAATACATACATTTGTAAGATAATTATATTTTTCTATTTCTTTTCTTAAAATATGTTTACTTTAGAAATAGTTTAGCTTAAACAATAAAAAATGACATAATTTGAATCATTATTCGAGATACCTACGCCATATGCTAAATTTCTTTATCTACATGTATGTTTTTATCTACGTATATTCCTTATTGGTGGCAAAGTTAGAAGTAAAAAGTGCATGTCAGATAATCAAAATAAAATCAGTCTTACTTTATTCCCGTATGTCAGTAAAATGTAATTCTCTTTCTTTGCAGACTATATAACTCTAATTGAGATTATATTTTTAATCAATTGAAAGTAGATTTACAAATTTCCTTTTTTTCGGTCATATTTCTTCTTTGTGTTTTCTTATTTTTTTTAAGTTTTTATTTGTAACTCATGTACCTATATAACATATATTTATTACCAATCAAAAATACCTAGTACCTAGACCTACCCGAAAACCGCGATCTCGAAAGTAACGTAACGATTGTAACGGGAGCATCAACGCCAACAGCGACCGATCAAAGCGCGACGCTACGTACTTACCAGTTCTAGTTACTACTGTTCGCGACCGACTAAAACTCGACCCTACGAGCGCTCCAGCAGTCGCGCGACCACTGCACTGGCACTGGAGCGAGATACGTCGCGGTATGGGTCGTGACCAGTTACATATCTTCGCGACAGACGAAGCGGTCGAGATCGCGGGATGCTACGTACTTACCAGTTCCAGTTATTACTGTTCGCGACCGACGAAATCGCGACCCTAGGAGCGCGACGGCTGGAACGTTACACGGCGCTATGCGGTTACTGCGGTTCGAACTCCAAGAACGATTATAAATAATTTATAGTTTTTTCGTTATTATGATTGTCGTTCTTCAGTAACAGGTTTCCGATTCGTTGTGGAGCGCGACACAACGTTACAAAAAAATACGCTTTGCAACACCGCGCAATTTTGTACAAAATAGCTTGCGCAAACCAGTTTGCACAAATTGCTTAACTTATTACTAAGCCTAAACCTTGTTGGTTGCTAGAGACTTATATTTTCTTTTATTTTCAGATTAGGAGTAGAAGAACCTAATAAGACGGGTACCGCCAGAGGACTCACGCCCTCTCGTACGGTCAGGGTGCGCCGGACGGTCGTCGAGACGACGTCATTGACGTACCCCATGTTCTTTCAGATGCTCTTCGCCATCACCAGATTGGGAAGATCACCGAGGAAAAAAATCTTCATCCAGGCGACGTAAATCGACGTAACAGCGACGAAGAACGCTTAAAAGACGTTAAAACGACGTACCGTATACGTCATTGTGATTTTTAAAGTTATAGGGCATTAAAGAGCGTATTAAAGACATTAATCGGTATAGTTGAAGAGAGAATATTTAGTGTACTAACGTAAAAATTACGTATATAAGACGAGTATCTACGTATTTTAATACTTAAGTGGATTTGTGACTAAGTGTATAAACTGTCTAATTTGTGCGTTTGTTTTTAACGCGATAAATAAAAACTTGAAATAACAATCATCTTATTTTGGTTTATTTGTTCATTTTTCTAATTGAAAAAATGAGTAGTACGGACAAGAATAACTTGAGGAAGCTGTCATTCTTGGGTTTCATCTCAAATAAGGTAAGTCAATAATTTCACAACTGATAAAAAAACTGATAGGGGCTCATCCCGTTAACTTTTTTATTTTTTTCAGACAAAGAAAAAGAAATCTCGTGTATATGACATAAATCAGGATTGACGGAGTTATTCAATTATTTTTAGTCACTTCCTGTTTCACCGGAAATGACTACAACTTTAGATTTTTAAACGGTATACGCAGTATTTTTTACTTTATTTGATTGAAAATTACATTCTGAATAGAATGACATATCATATGTCAATTTTTTGAACATAATATTTTAAATTTCAATCTAGAGTACAATGGCTGTGTTCATAACGTCAATTTAACTCGAAATAACATGTATGTGGTACCAAATTATTGGTAAAAAATGCTTTTTCCAAAAAATATGCTAATGAGTCACCCTTTTTCCATTTAAAAAAAATTGAGTTATGATTAAAAATACGATTAGGCCATCTTTTAACCAGCCAGGAAAAGGCACGAAAAACATTAGACAATCAAATGTGTTTTTCCAAGGCTCCTTGATTAAAAATTAGTGGTTTTACCCCAACCACAGCACTCTAGATTGAAATTTATAGTGCTCTTTTTTTAATTGAAAATGTAAAAAGTTGACATGTGCTATGTCATTCTATTCAGACTGCCCTTTTCTATTAAATAAAGTAAAAAAATACCGAGGGTGCTATTTAAAAACCAAAAACTGAATACGCCAATCAATCCCCGATTTATGTCCTATACTCCTATACTAACACACCAAATCTCGTTTTTTATATATTTTTATTATTTATAAAAAAAATTAAAAAGTTATAGTGAGCCACTATTGAAAAACACCCTGTACACCATACGATATAACGTAATATAGTATAATTAGTTTTGAAAAAACACAAGTATAAACAGTAAATAACTCGATATAATTATAAATTATATCCAAAAAATCATATATTTTGAACGATAGAATGTAAATATTTAAGGAAAAAAATAAACTTTACAGTAATTCCGGTAATTTACAAAAGTTATGCAATAAATACTGATTTAATAATTTCTTAATAATTGTATTAAATTGACAAACAAATAATTTATATTGCTTATTTTCATGAAATAATTATAAAATAAACTTTTATTTGCACAGATTAATAAAACAATTTAAATTGTCATTTTGAATTATGTCATTTTATCGTTTAGAGTTAAGGCAAATATAACAAAGCGGCTTATTCATGACAAAAGACAATTTGTCTTTCTGTGGAACTCATAAAATAAATTGATCCAATACTGTAAACTATAAAATAGCTTGGTTTCATATGGCCATGATAAAATATAATAAAATTGGAATAATCCACATTATATAGTATATAAACTGCAATGAATTTATTACAAAAAATAATCCATAAAATGTACAATTGGTAACTTTTTATGGATATTCGGAAAGATTATGAATCTGTCTTTCTAGAAACATGGATATTAAACGGAATAATTAAAACTCAATTTATGTGTTATTTTTTATATTAAAAAGACTTTTTAAAGACATTATCAAATTAAATTTGGTATCTTAGTGTTCTGAAAAAGAAATTATTTAAGGTATATTTTTTACGAATATTATATAAGGTATATTTTTTACGAATAATTTGAAACCACACACTTGGTATTTCGAGTAAAATTGTCGTTATGAACCGCATGTTACAATTTGAAATAAACCATATGCGAAAATGTCAAAAGTAGACATATGATTTGTCATTCTATTCAGAGAGTGTCATTTTCTATTGAATTAAGTAGAAATATACCGAGGGTGCCATTTAAAAACCAAAAGTTGTAGTCCTTTCCGGTAAAACAGGAAGTGACCAAAAACAATTGAATACGACAATCAATCCTAATTTTTGTTATATACTAACATACCAAATCTCGTTTTTTTATCTGAAAAATTAAAATAGTTATAGGGGTAAGCTACTTTTGAGACGCACCCGGTATATAATTCTTTATATTATATATATTCTATCAATACTAGAATTTAAAAAATTACTTAAAAAACTGAATAAACTAAATATTACTGAATTTCAATCCATAACAATACAGGGCATTTAAAAAAATAGTTATAAAGTAATTAATAAATGAGATTAGTCAATATATTTTTCATTAAATTGCCTTTTAATTAAATAACCATAAATTATTGAGACTTATTTAAATACTTGTTTTATTGCAACTAATAATTAAAATTTTAAAGAAATTATTTTTTACTTTAACCACAAAAGGTAAATCGCGAAGCTCAATTACAATAAAAAAAACTAATAATATATTCACGCTTCGTAGGAAAGCAAACAAATTAAAATCGGAAGGTTAGAAAATTCAGATAAAAAACCCAGTAGAGGAAGAATCATCAATTTTAAAAGCAATTTACACGCTTAGATCATATGATCATAAAACCAAGTTTTGATGATCGGAAAGAAATATCATTAAAACATCATTAAATTAGTGGAAATGCGATTGCTAGGTATGTTACACCATTAATAAATATTGTTACAAGTAATTATTACTTTTTTTTGTTTTTCTAATTATAAGAATACATAATCTGTATGATTTATTTACTTAATGAATTTAATGTTGTTACAGTCATTAATAACGATATAATTTGTTATTCAGATTTAATTAATAAAATTGTTCCGAAAAAGTTCCATACTAGGTTAGCTATTTGATATTTAAAATCCATTCTTTTTTACAAAATATACAGGTAATGTGGTATTAACTCACATTTTAATGTATTACATATACTTTAAATAAACAGTGTTCAAGCTTGTTTCTAATGTTTTTCGTATTTTTTTCTAGCTGGTTAGAAAATGTCCAAATCGTACTTTTAATCATAACTATTTTTTTTCAAATTGAACGCTGATGGTTCCTTAGTATATTTGGAAAAGGTATTTTTCACGAATAATTTGGTACTACATACTTGGTATTTGGTGTCAAATTGTCGTTGCCATTTATAGCCCTGGCTCTCTAGATTGAAATTTAAAATGCTATTTTTTTTAATTAAAAATGTCAAAAGTTAACATAAGATGTGTCATTTTCTATTATAGTACAAAATTACTGAGGTAAACAATGAACGTAGTAATTTCCGGTGAAACAGGAAGTGAACAAAACTAATTGAATACGTAAATGAAAAAATAAAATAGTTTTTGAAAATAGTGAGCCACTTTTGAAAAATACCCGGTATATATAGTAATATACAGGGTGAATATAAGTGCAAATATTTTTAGGGTTAGTATATTTCAACCCCAGAAACATGTCGATGAGGATTTTTTTTGCGAAAAAAAAATTTTGAAAATTTGGAATTTTTTGAAAAAAATTTTGGATTTTTTTTTAATTTTTAGTTAAAAAAATAATATTTACATAATATGGCAACACAGGTAGATGATTAGATTTACAAGAAAGAAAACCCAGAAAAGATCCATTGGTTCTCAAAATTTAAGCGAAAAATCAATAATTTGTTTTTTTCAAAGTAATATATCTTGGTTATTTTGGACTTATTTGAAATAGGGTAAAGAGAAAATGTGTTTCTTTTTTCGAGATCTACCAGCCCTGAAAATATTTGCACGTATTTAAGACTCACCCTGTATATAGATACATAGGAATGTACAGATAATAAGATATAAAGTTGATTTTTTGTAGTTCCAAAAATACGAAAAATATTGTTATAGGTATTTTAAAATCCCTATTCTAACATAATGACAATAATTTAAAATCCAAATTTTTCTTTGTATTAAATCTATTGAGCAGGAAAAATATAAAAGATTTTGTATAAAAAAGTAGTAGTAATTTTATGTAAAAGTATGTATATTTCTAAAATGGGCATCATTATCTGGGGTTATTTGTAAAAAAATGCATTACTAGTGAAGAACTGTTAAAAAATCAGCAAGACGATAAGCCTTTTAAGGTGATTTTTATGATAACATCAGTGATGAATCCAGGAAAAAGATATAATAAAAATCAAAAACACTATAAGAAAACTTAAATGCTCTACTAATAATAAAAAAATGTATATCCCTACTATGAATAAGAATGACACAAATTTTAAATAAATTACCGGTTCTACAAAAAAGGGGATTTACTTTCACTCGAGGTGATTGAACAATGAGCCAAGTAATGAATGACAAATAAGATCCCCATATTTACTTATCTATCAAATAGTTTTTTAGTAAACATTATTGTCCCATGCCAGTTACTCCTTTTAATAATTTGTGTATAAGTTTAACAGTTTTTACATATTTAATTTCTAAAATATTTTTTTAAATCTTTGTTAATGGTGACCTGCAATGGTAAGTTTTACTAATGATATATTTATTGAAAGATATTTTAATAAAATCTATCTTTATTGATATTATAAAATACAGGACAGTTTAAAATATTAGTTATATTTTAGTATAAATTTAGTTTTGACTGGGCAATGTCATAAAATATTTAAAAATAAGAACAATCAATTATTTACTATTTAATAATTTTTAGTAATTTATTAATCTTCTGCGAGTAAGGTCTTTTTTAAATGTGTAGAAAAAATAATCTAAATTAAAAATGTTATTAATAGTAAAAATCGTCACATCAAAAAAAGGTGGATGACCCTGTATTAAATCTATTTTTATTGATTAGAGAGATCCATCTGAATTAAAAACTTTTTTTAACGAAAAAAAGGTTTTCAAACCAGGATTATTAAATTACTCGCCCACTTTTTTACGTACAGAATTTACATGCGAATGAAATAAAAATAATCCGGTATGAAATTCAATTAAAATGGAGGTGTTTTGAATTTATAAAAGTTTTGAAGCGCAAATGAAACGGGGGATGTGTTAACATTTTATTTTTTGACTTATTTAGTCTCTATTTTCAATCGAGGAGTTGAAAATAAGCGTTTTTATTATTTGTATACTAAATTAAAACATTAAATTAATAAATATATACTTTATAAACACTTACCTAGCTAAACCAAAATAGTGTCTCAATATTGAAGAAAGCAACTTCAATGTCA